TACAGGGGCGGAGGGATGTGGGGGGATGATGACTCATGGCCACTCTACCAGCACTTCCCAGCAGAGATGCCAAGGGGTGCCCAAAAGTGGTCAGATCCCAGTCCATGGCCAGTGATCACCAGCTTCTTGCTGGTGATGGGCTGCAACAAGCTCAGGACAGGGGAACACCCCTCCTTCTGCCCTGGTGCAGGCTCTGGATCACATGGCTCTGCTGCAACCCCAGCCCAGACAGCCCTCAGGGCACCCAGGGGAGGTGGGATCCCAGGGAGCAACTCCAGTTTCTGTCTCCCCTACAGGATCAGCTGCAAAAGAGGGAGCCCAGGGCTTGCTCCGGGCACAGTACAGAGACCATCCCACTGGGGGGTGCTAGGCAGGAGAGAGCCTGCAGCTGCCCCAGGGGAAAAAGGGGCTCTGAGCTCTCTGCTGAGACAGTCTGGGGCTGGCTGGGGAGAATGGCACGGTGATTTTACTAGGGGACAGATTGCCTCAGAAGTCCCTCCTCCAGTGGGGCTGGCTGAGCCCCCAAAGCAGAGTCCACCCCCGCTGCAGCCCCTGTCTGCCCTCCCCTCACCTGAGGCGTCTCCGGGTGCTGCTGTCCTCCCGATGTTGGGGAGCAGGTACTCGATGTTTGGCACCAACTGTGCCTCCTTCTCATCCACAGGAGTCTAGGGGTGCAGAACAGGGAGAACAGTGAGCGCTGTGCCACCCTCCAGGCCCATCCCTGACACAAAGCCCTTCTGCCCTCTGCCAGCAGGGCATCAGTGCGGGGCAGAGATTCCCTGGGGGTGCCACTTGGCCCAGAGCAGGGATGTCCCCCAGACTCATGCTCTGGCATAGGACAGAGGGAACTCTGCTTGCTCCACCCTTCCTTGCACTCTCCCTAGCCAGTCCCCCCTGTCCCCTCAGGAGAGGTCCCTGCATGAACACGGCAGGTGCCCTCAGGCTGTTGCCTCTTCCCCCTTCCCTGTGAAACCAGGCTGGCCACATGACTCACCTTCTCTCCCTTGTCCTCCTTGTCGCTGAAGAACCAGTTGGACTGTGGGGAGATGACAGGAGAGGGATCAGAGTGTGGGTGAGGCCACAGGTCAGGGTCTTTGGGGAACAGTTGCCCTCAGAAGCCCCTCCTAAAGTACCCCTGCCACAGCCCTCACCCACCTCCCCTTGTGCCTCCATACGTGGCTCAGCCCTGACTAACAGTCCACTCACCCACCAGTCAGACCCCCTCTGTGCCCCTATGCATCCCCCACATACCAACACACTCTTGCTTCTGCCCTGCCCCTGCTCCTATCTTTCCCTATCCCTGGTTTAGGCCATGCTATGCTCCCCACCTCCCACCACCCACCCCTGGCTATTGA